TTACTGTAGGGAATTGAGATATTTAAAGGCCAGAGCAAAACAACAGATCAAATTGTCCCTGGAAACTCTTTCAAGAATAAATGACAGATTTCCATGTGGTAATTTTTGTCTAGTAGACCAAAATCCCTAGGACAGGAAGTATGTTCTGCAATATCAGATAGTGTTTTTATAATGATTGAAACATTAAGCTCTTTTCAAACTCTTAGCTTATTACATTATAATGAGATTTGTCTTAGAATTAGACAGAGATAGATTTCCCTTAAGATAATTAAGCACCATGTAAATGATGCAATAGGTTTAGGAACTGAGATGACTTTTCTTTAATTATTATTGATGTATTTAATCATCATAATACATTTGCATGTGCTCCTTTTGGAAAACATTAATATTCTTTTTTTTTTTTTTTTTTTTTTTTTGAGACGGAGTTTAGCTCTTGTTACCCAGGCTGGAGTGCAATGGCGCGATCTTGGCTCACCGCAATCTCCGCCTCCTGGGTTCAGGCAATTCTCCTGCCTCAGCCTCCAGAGCAGATGGGATTACAGGCACGCACCACTGTGCCCAGCTAATTTTTTGTAATTTTAGTAGAGACGGGGTTTCACCATGTTGACCAGGATGGTCTCGATCTGTGGACCTCATGATCCACCCGCCTCGGCCTCCCAGAGTGCTGGGATTACAGGCTTGAGCCACCGTGCCCGGCCGGAAAACAATAATATTCTTACAAAATTATAGTTGAAATTGAAAATAATTCTTTTCTTTTTTCCTTCTCTGTGATCAGAACAGTGGCTAATTACTTAAATTTTTTTTCCCTCAGGTATATTGGGATGTAGAAAAACTTATAGTTCAGAGCATCAGCTTAGTTGTTGGAGGGGCTAAGACTTTGCTACCTTTGCACCAAAGGGTTAATGCAATACCCTAAATTTTAGTTTTCCTTATGTGAAATTAGATAATAATATACTTCTGAGGTGTCATAGGATTAAATATGTGTAAGTTTCATAGGAGAGTGCTTGGCAAATGGTTGGCACCTGAGAAAACCTTAGCAGTACTTATTCCGAAAGGAAATAAAAATTATTGCTAATTTTTAAATTATTTATTATATTCTTGTGTGGTACAGGGAAACCCACACAATACATTGACCATTCATTGTATAGTTTAGAGCTGGATTGCATGCAGAATCATTTGAGAAGTTTGACAGTGTTGGTTTTGAGTCACTTTACCTCTAGCCAAGAAGTGATTTCTTCAGACCTTGTGCAAAGAAATCGTTGGTAGAAGGGACCAAATTGTATGGTGCTTAGGAACTAAAAGTTGTTCAAAATACTGGCCTCTCTAACAGGAGAGCTCCTACTAACATCCTAAGAGACTTATTAAGCCAATTTATTAGACTTGTGTGTGTGTGTGTGTGTGTGTGTGTGTGTGTATTTTTTTTCTTTGAGACAGAGTCTTGCTTTATCCCCTATGCTGGAGTGCAGTAGCACTGTCTTGGCTCACTGCTCCTCCACCTCCCACACCCAGCTAATTTTTTATTTTTAATAGAGATCAGGTTTTACCATGTTGGCCAGGCTGGTCTCAAACTCATGACCTCAGATGATCCACCTACCTCAGCCTCCCAAAGTGCTGAGATTACACGTGTGAGCCACCGAACCTGACTAGGTTTGATATTATGAGTGTAAGATTTGAATAATGCAATGGTTAGGACCTCTCCCAAAGTCAAACTTTCATATGACCTAGTTTCCAAAGAGTTGGAATCTTTTATGTTTAGGATTATGATGAGGTATTAGAATTTTATTTTCTATGGCTTCAAAACATGCCTCTGTTTGTACTATTGTCTTGTAAAAAGAAAAAGGAAAGGAAGGGAGGAAAAGACAGGTGTGTGTGTGTGCACTCATGAGAGAGGGGCAAGGACATATATTCAAGAGTAATATGATAAACACTGTAATAGAGCAGTATATCATGTACTATGGAAATACAAAGAATAAAATGTACTACCTTGGAAAGGTCAGGAAATAGTTTACTCATGAATAAATATTTGAAGTGAATTATGAAGAGGAGTTTTTAAGACGCACCACTCGGGGATTGCAGCAAAGAGAAAAAGGCACAAATGCAGGAGGCAGCTTGGTACATTGTGGTTATAATAAGTGTTTCAACATGGATTAAGGTGTGTGTGTATACATGCGCACTCTCACACAAGTGTATGTGCCAATGTTGTGAGAGAGAATTGTGTTTTAGGTAATATGACTGCTAGATACAGAGACAGTCGCTTTCTTAAATGACTTGAGTTTATCCTGTAGGTGATGGAGAATGATGCAACAATTTTAAGTGAAGAGGACACGATAGGAGTTACATGATGGAAAATGACTGCATCATCAGTATGAAGGATGTTAGGAGAGGAAACCACTGGTAACAGTCAGTAGGAATAGTCCAGGCAAAAAGTGAATGGGATTCAGAGCAAGGCAGTATTAGTGGAGATAGAGAAGGGGAACTAGTTATTGGTGCAGTGGGTTAGCAGGAGTGAGGAGGATTGAGGACTAGGGATGGGGCACCTGAGTTCCAGCTTGCAAGGTCTCTCAGATATGGGGTACAGGATATTTATGTTTGTGCTTTTCTTGTTTCATACATATGTATTATACATAAATGCTATACATGTATATTATTCACATGTATTTAAAAACAGATATCCCTCTGGATTTCCTTTCTTTTGAACAAAGAAAATGACATAATTTCTGAATAGCAAAGAAACAATGGTCTTTTGTAATAGGAAGAATAATGGCTGCCCAAGGTCTTTACATGCTATACTCAGAACAGCTAAATATGCTGTTACATGACAAAGGGACATTAAGGCAGCAGAAGGAATTACAGTTGCTAATTAGCTGATTATAGAATGGGAAGATTACTCTGAATTATGTTGGAGAAGGCTTTTGCTGTAATTGCAGGTGGTCCTTAAATGAGGACAAGAAAGACAAAAGGGTCAACTTCAGGGTGATGAGATGTTAGGACAACTGGTCCTTTGAAGATGGAAGCAGGTCACATGAGTGATGGACTAAAGGCAACCTTTGGGAGATGGAGAGGCAAGGAAATGGATTCTAGCCTAGAATCCCCAAGAAGGAATGCAGCCTGGCCAGCACCTTTATTTTAGCCCAGTGAGATATGTTTCAGGTTTTTGATTTACAGAACTATAAACGATCTATTTTTTAGTAACAAATAAGTTTGTGGTAATTTCTTAGAGCCATAACAAGAAATTAATTCACCCTGGAATATGAATGAGCCTCATGACTGTGTCTTTTTTCTGCCATATTGTGCTCAGTTATTTACATGAAGTTTGCAACTGATAGATGAATACAAAATTATCATCCATAACTTTTCTAAGAAAGTGTTACCTTTGAATTTTAGTATTTTTTGATAGAAAAAATAAATAGAAAGAAAGAAGAAGTACCATACAATGAAACAAAGTACAGATGCAAGAATTAGCTACGATGATTCTGTTTTGAAATTTGTACCACTTAATGTGCATTCTAATTGCTGAAATGATAGCAGAATTTAATAGCATGCAAGATCTTGGCTTCTGATGGTTTGTTTCTTGACCACTGATGATATTGTAGGTGAAAATTGGATCTTAAATTGACAAAAAAAAATCAGTATTGAGATACATTTTATTTGCCTGAACCATTTAATAATTTATTTGCAATATATACATCTAATGAACATAGACATTATGATGTAAATGTGCAGTGTATCTGTGACTTTTAATTTCTCCAACAATGCTTACCTTACACTTAGTATTTGCTCAATAATAGAGCCTTACAGAGTATAGTTACATCTATTCAGTGTTTTAATTATATTTGTTTAACAAATAGTGAACTTGTTTCTAAAATAAGTGGTTTTGAGTGCTTAGAACATTCTTATTTAAGTGAATAAATAATTCTTTGCACTTTTAAATTTCCTTTTTGTGATGATTTTTGCCCATGATATTGAAGTATATACAGCTATCATTTAGTTTTGGGGTATCTATCTTAGGAGCTTCATCATGTTCATCATGTTTGTGTGCCCAGTGATTATTAGGAAGTTTTATTGAATGACATAGTTTAAAGAAACATTGGAATGTTTGAGAAGAAGAACCAAGGAGCCAGAATACCTGGTTAAATTTGGTTCTGCTACTTGCTAGCCAAGCAATTCTGGGAAAGTTCCTCATCTATCCATGCATAGGGATTTTTTCTTATATATTAAGTGGGGATATTAATAATGCCTATTTCACAGGGATATTGAAAAGATTAAGCGAGTTAATACATGTAAAGAAGATAGAACAGTGATTGGCTCCTAATAGGTGCTAACTAATGTTAGCTTAATTATTTACTTAAGCAACATATGATATTGAAAGTAAGTCAGGCTTACATTTAAACTTGCCATGATATGTAGCATAATAATGCCATACATATTCATATTCCCAGAACATTCCCAGAACATACAGGCACACACACACACACACACACACACACACTCACATGTGCACTTTCACATCCAACATGCATTTTATAGGTCAGAAATGAAGGCAAAATGACATGATAAAAATATCTACTTTTTATTTATGCGTCTCCAACTGCCTGTCTAGTGCCATACATGACAATGATAAAGTGTTCCTTCTGTGAAAAGACTTGGAAGTGAGATATGGTTGTCTCACAGTGTTTTACAACTCAGATCAAGGCACAGAGAAGCCTATCCCTATTTTGTTTAATTTTCCAGTTGGCCAGGGTGTATACAAATATGAAAGAAGATTCGGGGTAAAATTAAATTAAAACTTCATGTTTCCTTTTGAGGCAAGAGCTCTGAATTCAAATCATTAAATAGTACTTTTAGTATGTTTTGCTTAAGAAATATACAGAGGAGACACTGAAACCACAAGTGGCTTGCATTTTAACAGAATCGAAATAAAGAAGGCTGTAAAAAAATTTGTATTTGCTTCTTCAGTACATTTTACATAATTCAGGTTTTTTTTTTTTTTTTTTTTTTAGATGGAGTTTTGCTCTTGTTGCCCAAGCTGGAGTGCAATGATGTGGTCTTGGCTCACTGCAACCTCTACCTCCCAGGTTCAAGCGATTCTCCTGCCTCAGCCCCCCAAATAGCTGGGATTACAGGCACCTGCCAGCATGCCCCACTAAGTTTTTGTATTTTTAGTAGAAATGGGGTTTCACCATGTTAACCAGGCTGGTCTCGAACTCCTGACCTCAGGTGATCCACCCACCTTGGCCTCCCAAAGTGCTGGGATTACAGGGGTGAGCCACCATGCTCTGCCATAACTCAGGGTTTTTAAATGGGTTTTAGTGATGTTAACAGATCTGTTCTGTTTGTTGGATTCTTTGTTTTGCTTGGAAAAAAGATAGAAACAAGGAGACCTGGGAATATTCTTTCACATGATGCAGCAAGGGGAAAGGCTCCTTATTGTATTTTCCTGCCACTACTAACACCCTGGATCTGTCTCAAAATTATAATACTTACATGGCTTTTGAAAAAAACACATGTAAACATAGTATGTTCAAATCCCATCTTAAGTGCCTTATAAATATTAACTTAGTAAATTTTCAGAAAAATTTCATGAAATAGGCATTTCAAGCATTCTCATTTTAGAGAAGATAAACTAAGGCACCAAGAGGTGAAATAATTTTCCCAAGTTGGCACAGCTGCTAAGTACTAGAGTTGGATTTGAATCCAGGTGATCTTATACCCTACCTCCTTAACTACAAGAGATGGTGTTTCTTCTCTCTATTCAAGAAACTCAATGGTGTTCCCATTATTCTATTGTTTTGAATTTGCTCAGTTTAAATTCTATGTACGCTGCAACCTTAGAATGAATTTGGATTACCGCTATTATTGATTGAATTAGATGCAAAAGTAACTTCTTAAACATATATAATGATGAATAATACAGCATTGATTCATAAAGGAATGACAAAAGAGTATGGCACTCTTTCATTTTACAAACGTTACATAAAAAAATCAACTGTTAAAATTTTCTTGCTGGGTGATAAAGTTTGAGGTTTATAAAATGACTTACTTAGATTTGAAGGAATTGCTTTAATGATATGTCAATAATTGCAACAAGCATAAATTTGTTTTGTGAATTAATGTTAGCTCAAAGATTTTCAAACAATGTTTAATATTTAAAATTTCTTATTTATCACAGAAATATTATTTGTTACAGCTGCAGAATTGGGCAAAATTTAGATTTAGCTTATCTGTCTGAGCCAAAAAGATCTTTGCATTTTATAAAAGAGAAAAATTCTTGAGTGAAAAGCGGACATGACCTTGGGATAAAGATGGGTTATTTGAACAGAGGGACTGAAATAGAATGAAAGACAAATTGTTTGAAAATCACAGCAGTGTTTTGAAAACCCTTTAACATACTGGTTAAAGAATGCATGCGAAGTTGTGGTATCCACATTGGGTTTTAAGCTAGCTCTGCAACCTTGGCCAAGTTACTTAATTTCTTTGTGTCTGTTTACAAATTGTTAAAGTGAGCCCAGTAATATTACCTACCTTACAGAATCATTGTGAGAGTCAAATGATGGTAGAGCCTGTAACATACTATATGCTTAATAAAAGTTAGATTATATTGTGATGGTGATGGCAGTGTAAGAAGAAAAAGAAGGCTTTACTGAATTATGGTCTAAATGTGCCAAATAGCAGATAAGACAAAGCAGCATTATATGAGTGAAATATTACTCCAAATGCTGCTGCTATACACTGTTCTCTCGTAGAGAATATATGATGACTAAATAAAATTTGCCAGGCTCACACCTGTAATCCCAGCACTTTGGGAGGTTGAGGTGGGTGGACCACGAGGTAAGGAGTTTGAGACCATCCTGGCCAATGTGGTGAAACCCTGTCTGTACTAAGAATACAAAAAAATTAGCTGGGCATGGCGGCATGCACCTGTAGTCTCAGCTACTTGGGAGACTGAGGCAGGAGAATCACTTGAACCTGGGAGGCGGAGGTTGTAGTGAGCCAAGATCGCGCCACTGCACTCTAGCCTGTGCGACAGAGCTAGACTCTGTCTCAAACAAACAAAGTGTCATTTCATGTAAATAGAAGATGTGTGGTAAAGTCATTGTGTTAGTTTCCTAGGGCTGCAGTAACAAAATTCCACAGATTGGATATCTTAATAGAAATTGATTTCTCACAGTTCAGGAGGGTCCCGGTCCAAGATCAAGGTGTCGGCAGCTTTAGTTTCTTCTGAGTACCCGCTTCCTGCCTTATGAATGGCCACCTTCTTGCCTTGTACTCACATGATCTTTTCTTTGTGCACAAGTCCTGTGGTTTGCATGTTTGTCTCTTCCAAAACTCATGCTGAAACTTACTTGTCATTGTGACAGAATTAAGAGGTGGGGCCTTTGAGAGATGGCTAGATTATGAGGGATTCACTCTCACAGGTGAATTAATGCTGTTATCAGGAGAGTGTGTTAGTTACTAGGGGGGTGGGCTCCTGGTAAAAGGCTCACTGGCCCCCACACCATGTGATGCCTTTTAGTAATGGGCTTACCCTCCCCTGATGCCAGTACAGTGCCCTTATACTTCTCCACCTTCAGAACTGTGAGAAATAAACTCCTTTTCTTTATAAATTACCTAGCAAGTGGTATTCTATTGTAGCAGCAGAAATATGAACTTGACACACATCCCTGATGTGTCTCTGTGTATTCTAATTTCTCCTTCTAATGAGGACACCAGTCAGGTTGGATTACAACCCATCTTAATGGCCTCATTTAAACTTAATTACCTGTTTAATGTCCCTATCTCCAAATAGAGTGACATTCTGACATACTGGGGGTTAGGGCTTCAACATATGAATTCGGAGAGAAAACACAGTTCAGCCGATAACAGTCATGTTTGAGGTAAATGAATTTTAAGACCTGTGACTAAATGTCAGGGCTAATGGTAAGATGTCAATGTTTTAATCATGAAATTGATGGTTATCTGTCTTCTAGGACTACCATGGTAATATGAACTTCATCTCCTGAGGAAATGGATTGCTCGTAGTGGAAGTACAACTCACTCAGACTGAGGCTATTGTAAAGTGTTTCAGATCTGGTACTTTTAGATTAGGGTTTTCACTACATTTGTTTAGGGATAAAATACCCACCAGTTAGAAACATTTAGTCTTTTTTCCTCAGTATATTTCTAACGAACATTTTATCCCCTTACTTTGAGAACTGTAGGAGGAAAATTATAAAAATTTCTTTCTATAGATGCTTGGGAACCAAGGGGACATACAAAGTCAAGCAATTTTCTGGAAAAATAAGTACTCAAATTTATAAATATTTCATTCATTTCTGAAGTATTAGATGAGACATAGGAAATGTTTTTTAAGGATCAATGATGCTATCCACCAAAGCTGCATAAATTAATCATTTGTTATTGGATACCATTTATGTGAGGAACAAAATGTCATTCGCCATGTTATTTTCAGTCTGTCAAATGGCTTCTGAGTACTTGATGATCTTCTGTTTTGTGCCGGTGAGGTGCAGAAATATGTGTATATATGTATTCCAGACTTCTCTATTATTTATTGCTCCTGGCCCAAACAAACCAAATGAAAATACATTCTGCTTACATCGCAAACTGCTGTACACCATAAATAAAGTATAACAAAATGAATTTTATTTTAGTTAACTGAAAATAATCAAGAAAAAATAGATTCCCCTTTGTTTAATATAATAGTTGCCAAAATAGAATTATAAAATGTATTGCTTTTTATTGAAGAGCAAACCTAAAATGAATTAGCCATGGAATCTCTGGGGATAATATCCGCTGGTGCAGGGAAAGCACATTTAGTAGCAATGTTTGCAAATATGAGCCAGAGGATATTAATTTGCTGTTCTAAAATTTAACTTTCTGCATAACTTAGAGTAGTTTTGAGGTATGAATTGAGAACATGCTGTTAATAATAATGGTTGGCTTATTTGTTGAACTCTTCCAATAAGTGTTTTTATGACCACTAGGAGAAATATGTGTAAATTTAAAAGTATTTATAAAGTATATTGAAAAGATAATTGTAAAATTGAGAAAGGAAAGTAAACAACTTTTAATATTCCATTGTGGAATTAGGCTCTCTTTTATACTCCTTGCATTTTCAATAACAGTATTATTGATATAACTTTGTTGTCTTTGAATTGGTTGTTGAGCTCTACCATTCACTAATGGCTTTTGCTCCTGGCATTGTCTTGAAAAAATTAATTTTCAGCCTATTTTTTCTTTTTTGTGCCTTCTTAATACTCTATTGTTTAAACAAAACCTTTAGTAGAATTTCAACATATCACGGAGCTGTTCTGAACCAGGAACTGACTTGACCCTGTGCAGAGACTGAATTCTCTTTTTCCCTCCTCCACCACTACAGCAACCATCAAGTGCCTCTTTGAAACCTTAGGACATCAGGAGTAAAGGGTGAATGTGACTATTCCCAGTAATGCAGATCGATGTATTTCTCTCTTCTTATTCTTTATGTTTTCTCAAACTTTTCCAAGTCCAATTCTCACAACAATTAGCAATTAATACATGGAAAAGCCATATCTAGGTGGATTTAGATGTAGATAAGTTGTCATCTCTTACCCACTCTTCAAGCTGTGCTGCTCAGGTTCTGTGAAACTAGTCTGTGTCATATTGTACTGAGACATTCTCTTTCATGACTTTCCCATTAAGTGGAATGCAGCTTTTTCCATGTCTGCCTTCTGAAAATCTGTACGTCATTTCTAGTATTCCAAATATAATTTACTGGTGCTGTCCAACTAAATGAGACCTAGTACTTTTTATGACAATTATTTTACTTTTGCTTATAATATAATCTAACATATATTTGTGTTAATTGGACAAAAACTCTTTGATTGGGAGAAGAGTGTTCAGAAAGACACATAGGCATCTATCTACACCCATTTATTCAGTTTATAAAATTAAGAAATGAAACAGCTGATATTTCTATAAAATGCATGAACTGAGCTGAGAAGATGTGCTTAGCCAGAGCATTGAAGGTAAACAATATTTAAGGTACAGAAAAAGGAGGCCATCAGAGAGTGAGAAGCAGCAGACACATCTACATCTA